ATATATGTATTTTCTTAAAGAAGAGGACAGGAATGATGCAGGCCCTTTCTGAGATGTGGGTGTTCAGAACGTCCCGATTCCCGAGAGGTCTCCCTCTAGCCTTTCACCAAACCCCCGTTTTACTGCGACCGCATGAGCGAGGACACCTAAGCACACCGGGAACCTCCTGGGAACCCACGCAGGCCCTCTAGACGCTGCACCTGAGTCGACTCTTGTTCCGAGCCACGCGGGTGAGAGTGTAGCGATTGATGGTGTAGAAGTAGTCGTGGTAGGGCACGTCGTGCGTGAGGACCTCGGCGTCTATCACGTAACATTCGCTCTCCTGGCTCGCCTTGTACATGGTCTGTGGGGGAGAAGGGACAAAACTGAAAAGAAGCAAGACGGGAAAAGCACCGTCCTCCCTACGCCCGGACGGAGGACCGGGAACCAGTGGAAACGGGCAGCCTGGTACGTGTCCCCGCCTCGGGGCCCAACGACACTTGCACCCAGAAACTTCTTCCTAGCGTCTACCCTTAATCGTTCTCGGCAGGACGGAGGCTCTTCCCGCTGCCCTTCCGTGCCCCTGCGCTCAGCTCACCTGCGTCTCCCTGACGGTGGCAGTTTTAGGAGCCAGAGGGTTGGTAAGGGTGATGGTGTAGAGGATCACTCGGCTCTGGTTTCCATTCTCTTCCTTCTTCCATGGATGGAAGATGATATCTGAGGGTGGACAAGAGCCCTGGAATGAGGGAGGGAGAGAGGCACGGCCGTGCCATCTCTGAACTTCCCCTCCGAGTGAACTCTTGACTGTACTGATGGACGCCTGGCCTCCAACAGGACGCCAATGGGAGCCTGAGGGCCCCGGGAGGAGGGTGGGGGGAGGGGGAGTCAAAGCAGAAAGAGGCTCATTGTAGCATTGCCGGAATTCTACCCGGGGCTCCAGAATGCTGACTGTTCCCGGGGCCGGGACAGGAGGTCTGGGGGCCCCCTGTGGGGGAGCTGGCAACACTGGAGTCACTGTGGCAAGGGCCTGGGATCCCTGGGAACAAGTCCTCCCCTCTAAGACACAGCCTCCGCGTGCCCTCCGCCTGCCCTCTCCTCCTGGCTGAGGGCTAGGCTGATACCCGGATGCTCTTGCACAGAGTCGGGTGCCCAGCAGCTCTGCCCGGCCGGAGCCACAGTCCCTGCTCTGGGCAGAACAGGGGCAAGGGGGTGGGACAGGAGCCAAGCAGGGATGCACAGGGTCCTGGGTGTGAATCCTGGCCCACACCCTGCTTGGCTGCACGGCCCTGGGCAAGTGAGAACAGTCGGAGCTCTGGTTTCATCGTCGGTACCCCGGGGATCGCAATGCTCACACATGCGGCAGGTCCGAGGGTGACCCGAGATGAGGCGATTCTTTGCGAGATGGTGAGCCCTGGGCGGTCTTGCTCGCCAGTGAGCCTGCGGGGCTGGCACCGAGGGCCAGGCGCACAGTGGGCGAGCATAAAGCAGCAGCACTGGGGGACGGAGTAGCATGCAGGGCCATGGGGGTGGGGGGCGGGAAGAGGGTGCCCCCGGGCCATCGGGTGGCCTGGGGAAGGAGGGAACTTGGGAAGAAGAGGACAAAGCGTGGCCCGGGAGGAACTGACCGGAGAAGCGACGCTGCTCCATGAAGTCCCGCTGGAAGGGCGAGTCGGTGAACAGCAGGTCGTAGAGCTTGTCCACGCTGAAGTTGAAGACCTCGTTCACGTACTGCCGGCCACTCAGGTCCTCGTAGAAGGCCTGGACCTCCCCTGCATGGAAGAGGATGAGGAAGGAGGGAGTGAGGGCCGAGGGGCGGGCGGCCCCAGGGCCACCCCCCCAGGCCACCAAGGGTCAAGGGCGGCCAGTGCGGGTCGCAGTTCATGACCTCGCATCTTCCGTCTCCTCCTTTGCCGGCACACACACAGCTCACTCGAACCGGCCTTCTGTTCAGCCTTCCTTGACAAAGACGATGGGAATGTACTGTTTGCTTTTAGTTTTTCAAGCCTTCCTAAGGAAGCTGATCTCAGACTAAAATTTAAATCGAGGGTGACTTCCTGAACCCAGAAGTTATCAGTCACCCAGAGTCTGTAAGTTAAGCACAACCGATGACACATGGCATCACAACCACAGTACAGAGGGCATTGAAGGGACGTGGATCCATCCGGAATGGCCTGTTTACAGAAAAGCTTCGAAGGCTGGGCTGGACTGCAGGGCCGCGCTCTCTAACCACACAAGGTCAGCTCCTCCTCCGTAAGGCAGCCTGTCTCCCCCAGGATTTCAATGCCTGTCACTTTTCTCAGGTTTCTGTCTGCTCCGACAGAATGTGCTGCTGAAGCCCCGGCGTTCCTCCCAAGCCCTCGGCACCCTGTAGTCCCTAAACTGCTGCACCTACAGAAGCTGGTGTGTGGTCTCGAGCAAGATGCTGACATTCCTGGTGCCCCTGCGGCTCAGAATCATACAGAGCCGGTGCCTGTGATCGTATAGGATAAGCACTGTGTGAGCACCGTTGGGGGGCAATCATTGGCACTGGCCCTGCGTCCTAGATGGGAGTGGGGAAACCAGCCAAAGGTGAGGGGACCACTCCAGGGGACCATCGGAGAGACTGTCCGCAGATGTTTAAATGAGCACTGTCTACACACACGCACTAGTCCTAGTCTACCACCAAGTCAGTGGGGATCAACCCATTTCATGAATACTGACAATTTTCCTCTCGGCTCCAGAAATGCCAGAGGCAATGCATGCCTGAGCCAGGTCTTAGAAGCTGATCTGATGCAGGACTGAAGTAAGAAATACTACCTAGAAATACTAGAGAGAAGGGCAGGTTCTAGAGTCTGAGTCACCCAGCAGCACCTTTTCTTGCAGCCTGGTCTAAAAGCCCGACGCTGGGATCACTAAAGCAGGTTTCTATTAAAATCACATTATTTCCAGGAAGCAGCTGACTGGCACTTTCCTGTGGCATGTAACCACTGCCTTGCCTTGCATCTCTATGAGGAACAGAGCTGCTGGGCAAGCCCAGGTCGACAGGGGGACATTTAGTGGCAAGACTGGATGGCAGGACAAAGCATGATCCATCAAGTAAAGAAAGACAAATACGGTACGATAAGGATCCTGCAGTGGCTATCCGGAAAATGTCTGTATGCTAATGACAAATGAACCCACCCTTCCACCGGAAATCCAGAAACTAACTTGACTCCAGCCTCCATACAGGGACACCCTGTTAGCCTTCAAATGGAGAGAGGAAGGGCCACTCTGCACATCCACTTTCAAATGCCCACCTTCATCATGGGTGTCAGAAGAGTCACTGAGCTCAGTGGGGATGTCCTCATTGTCATTGAAGTCCAGCGAAGGGGAGGTCACAGGCGCGATGATCTCAATCTTCTCCCCGATGATGTTGTCAATGGCAAGCTCCTTCTCCAGGGACCCATCCCCCTCTAGCACCTCCTCCTCCAGGGGCAGGCCATCGAACTGGGGTAGAGACAGAGAAGTCACCCAACAGGGCCAACGTGCTCCGGGGCTCCTCTCTAAAGGGAGGTTAGGAACCTGGCCTTGGGAGCCCTCATGTTCACAACACAGCTGCTCTGGAGCTGGGCTGAAAGTCATGCTCTAGGGGTTTCCCCAGCTCTGCCATGGAAGACGGGAGAACCCAGTAGAAGGTTCCGACCTTGTCCTGCTCACCATTACATAGTGCACCAGCCCAGCAGTGAGCAGAGTTAGTACCTTCCGTCTCAGCAACGCTCCTGGAGCCACACCTCCCCCATGCTACCTGTCTGCTTGCTTCTCACTAGGGCTCATCTACTATGAGGCTCAAAAGCTTTGTAAGCATATTTTAATTTATTCTCCCCTTAGCCCTAGAAGGGAATAGATATAGGCCTTTATATCTGACAACCTCAGAGATGGAAAATGGAGATTAAGCACCAGATGAATGATGTTTTCATTCTAAGGCCAGGTGGTCTGACCCTTAAGCCACTGGAATACGAGGCTCCCCTCTCTGGGAATCCTTTCTAAGAAACCCCGCCCATTCTCCTACCCGCCAGCGCACACCCACACTTCCTTCATCAAGCTCCTATCCCCTCTGTAACCAAGTCTCAGAGAACAAAGGCCTCTCTTAGCACATTTTTATCTCTTTTGTGAGGTGTAGCACAGTGGAAAAATAAATCGGGAGTGTATACACTAGGAATTAAAAAACTAATTGTTGAATGAGTGAACAGATAACAGGTCTATAGCCCTAGAGTCACATATAATTTTGGCCTCAGATCAAGGCCGTTAAAAAAAAAAAAAAAAAAAAAAGACCTGGGATAGTTCTCCATAGAGGGGCTGATCTGCAGCAATCACACAATGAATTTGGAATGGTTTTCAAATGCTCAGAAGCCAAATAAAATCTTGTATCCAAGGCACCAAGAACCTGGCTCTGGATCCTGGGACTACAGCATCAGAACAGAGAGCCCATCGGCTCCAGGATGCCTCCTTGAATAAACTGACCACAGGGTAACCAACCTCCCTTCTCCCTGTTCCCCAGGCCAGGGTCCTATGGCATGAACTCAGCTAGGAAACACTGGCCAGCGGATGAGGGGTGGAAGCAAGGTCATATCGCCCATACCGAGACAGGGGCTTCACTGCTCCCTGTGGATGTCAGCGTGCTGTTGGTGATGGATTTCTTGGGTAGCTGTGGACTGGCATCCGGCTTGGTCTCAATGCTGCTTTTGGATGAACTGTCGTTCACTTCATTCTCTTCCACAGGGATCTCCTCACAGTAGCTGAGAGAAGACACCATGAATCCCTGTCAACTTCAGTTGCCAAGACCACCGACTATTCTAAGAACCTCACATCTGTCTATCCATCCCAAACTATGGGCTTTCTTGCTTCTTTGCTTTGGGTATGATCTTCCTCTAAACCACCACCCCCCTGCTACATTGCTCCCCTGAAACCTCGTCCCCACCTCGCACTCCACTCCTCACGTATTATTTCTGGCTCCAAAGTCACCTTTTCTATGCACTCTCCTTAGATTTAACCCTATCCTATGACCATTACACGTCTTGAACTATCTTTCTTCCAGTGGCATCCCATCCCATCCCAACCTCACCACTCACAGAAATGCCTGGGCTCTGAGCATACATTTTATGTCCCACACGGTGATGGGGATGGGACCCCACACAAGTGCCCTTTGGTGATAACGCCCAGATTCTGGATCCTAACTAGTGAGCTTCTTTGCCTTGGACACCTGAAGGGGAACGCTGAGAGATAAGGGTGGGTGCCCTTCTAGGGACACTTCCGCCTCTCCCAAGGGAGAACTCATCCCCGTCATCCACATCTGACTCACACTTTACCTAATCACCCCACGTGGATGCATGACAACTCTGAGTAACCCATGACACGCCTCGTAAAGATAATCAAACAGATACTCACAGAGATTAAATGATAACGCTGAGTGTCACTATTCAGCACTCTTTCCTTGCTTTCCACTGCTCTGTGCCTCGCACACCACCACTGAGCCTCCACCTACCTCCCCACCTCAAGCATATGCTCGTATGGCTTCGAGGCCCCATCCTTCTCAACCCATCAACAGCACGGGATACAGTGATGCTTCCTTCTCCTACAGCTTCCTTCCCTTGGCTTTGAGGATGCAAGCTCTCCTAGTGTTCCTCCTACCTGGCTGGCTGTTCTTTCAGGATTTCTTTTGCTGCTGCTTCTTGTTGAGTGCTCCCAGGCCCAGTCCTTGAACTTCTTATGTTCATCCAGCCACTTGGTGGTTTCAGCTAATCTCCTGGCTATCCATTCACAACGCCCAGGTTTATGTACCTCACCCAGACTTACCCGGTGAACTCCGCACTCACATCCACAAATGTCTATGTGACATCTCCATTTGGGTTATCTCAAACCCAACTTGCCTGATCTTCCCCCAAAGTCTGATCTGTAGTGCTGTCCATCTCAGTTTGGAACAGCTCTAGCCTTCCAGTTGGTAAATCCAAGAAAACCTTAAAGCCATCTTTGGTTCCTTTCCAATCTGTCAGCAAATCCTTCAAAACGGATCTGGTTCCACTTTCAAAATATATTCAGCAACAAACCACTGATTGCCATTTCTACTGCTACCCTCCTAGCCCAAACCACCTTCACCTCTCCTCTAACTGATCTCAATTATTCCACAGCCTCTTAGCCTGCCCTTCCTCCTCCCTGGTCCATTTTCAATCCACGAGCCAGAGTGATCCTGTTAAGATCCTTAAGTTGGATCTTATCAATTACCAACTCAAAGCCTTCCCGGGGCTTCCCAGCCCACTCTGAGTAAAATCCAATCATCGCACTGGCCAAAAGGCCTTCAGGATCTGGCCCCTGGCCTCACCTCTTCCTGCTGGCCCTTTGTTCATTCCGCCCAGCCACCCACTGGCTATTCCCTCTGCCTGCGAGGCTCTCCCCGCAGGTACCCTCCCTTCCTTCAGGGATCACTTAGACACTGCTCCCCAGGGAGGCTGTCACCGCCATCCCAGTCCCTCTTGGAGAAGCACCCCGGCAAGCTGCCCTCTGCCCTGCTCACCCCATCGTGTTGAAGTCGTCATCAGGGGGCACGTAGTCCTCGTCGTCACTGGTAAGGCCCAATTCATTCCCGTAGCACTGGTGAACGAAGTGCCAGAGCTCCTTGGGGCACAGGGGCTGTGGGGGACAACAGAGGGACTCTGACCCTTCCATCCTCGGGACCCCACTCTACACGGAGGCACTGAGTTGAGCTGGACTCCCCATGGGGTAGGAGAAGCTGACCTCCATTCTCCCTTGCTAAACTAAGAGGAGGAGAACAACACCTACTCCACTTCCTCTTCCCTCCTCTCAGGATCACAGCAAGATGCCAATCTCTTGCCTAAATACGGCTTTCAGCCAAGCCAGGAATCTGACCCTGTTCCCACAACTCAGGTTTGTATAATGGGATCAACTGGCCCCTTAAGGATGGTAGCTATCCATCTTTTGCTCCTATGGACGAGGTCAAGCATTAAGCATGATATATAGATGTGACTATTGCAACCAAGGCGATCCCAGAGCTTCTGACGTGGACTTGGTCCCTTGAGCCAGTCTCCCCAACACAAAGAAACCTCCTAATACTAACAGTGGCCATGCAGGCAGGCCCCACTGCTTCACGTCCAAGAATGAGGTGTGACCTCACAGGTGGTCATTCCATAGTTGGACAGTTCCTGTGGTTAGAAAGAAGCCTATATTCTCATAATTTAAGGGGCCTCAAAGGTGAGCACATCCAACCCTGTCGTGGCTACCTGAATACTGCCTTCTTTATTCTCGAATAGAATGAGTTTCCCTACAGTTCTGCATAGTAGCTCCAGTTCCGCATTTCACTGCGTGCTATGTGTCCTCCTCAAAAGCTCTGTCCTGAGAAAAGTGAGCTCTCGTGGGGTTCAGATTTGCGGGAAAGAGGCTACAGAATGTGGAAAACCAACGATTGAAGGGACCATGGATGAGTCTTGAATGGGGAGCAGGGGCAGAAGGTGGTAGGGTCAGGATTCGAGAAAGTGGGCAAGAGCCTTAAAGAAAAACAGAAGGAGTCAAAACACAAAGAAACATTTTACATCAAACTTAAAGAATGTTTCCCATCAATAGATCTGATAGAGAATCTGAGAATTCTCCAAGCCCAGCCTTTCCAGGTGTGGTTTAGGAAGCAGGCGGTGCCAGGCTGCCATGAGCCAGGGTTCTGGTCTCCCAACTGAGGAGAACTGCCCAGAACGGCATAGACCAGGGCTCCCCTCTGAGCTGGCAGGTGCTGGCCCTCACCGAGCTGAAGGGAGGCATCTCCTCCTTTCTCTGGGCCTCCTGCCTCCGATCTCTGGCCCTGACGTAGACCATTCAACCTTCCTGGGACACATTTGCCTTGTTGCCTGACCACGTCCTCCCCTTCGTCACAATTCCCGTTCTCCGCGCACCGTTCCCTGATCCAGCCTCCAGGCTCGGCTTGTCTGACCATAAGCAGGACAAGGACAATCGGCAAACATCTGTTGTGTGAGAGCTTCTGTCTTATTCAGAAAGGACAATGGCTGTGAACTGAAAATCCAAACCAGCCAGCGGAGGTTCAAACACATGATCATTTTACTATTACTGATGGCTAATAAAGGCAGAAGATCACAGCACAAATAAATTACCTGGATTTGTGCCCGGGCTATAGGCCTTCAGGTTAGAAGAAATTCTAAATAATAAATCTGCTCAGTTTACTTTAGATCGTTTAGGAGTCAAGGTAGATACATATGTGTCATATACATAATATAATTATAACCACATACTTTTCTATTATGTCTCTTTCCCTGGCTTGGGGCTCTTTCCCAACACCCCCTGGCATCTGAGTGGGAGTTCTCTCAGGAATGAGGCCATACCATCGCCAACATCCGTGTCCCCTCAGCGTCCTTCAGACACTCGAGTAGTCATATTGGTGGCTCTATTAACTCTATTTTCCTATTTTCTGAATTTTTGATGCTCTGGCATCTGAGGCCTTGCTGACTGGGGAGAGAACGTCCATCCCAGGGTTAGCTAATTCCTGGAGATAGAAAACAACTCACCCGGAAGTGCACCTTTCATATGTAACCAGCCATTCCAAAGCCTACACCCTCAACCACCTTCTTTTCCCAGCTCCTTACAGTCTGGGCCAATATTACCTGGCCTTAGGTATCCCAGGGCCAGGCAATGAGAGACAGTCTCTATGTCCCGAAGCCTGATGGAATTATTCAAACTAGCCAATCCTAAACCTGGCTGGCCTGCTTACCCTGCCTCCCCCATTCCTTCCTGCAAAAGCCACAATGTAAGCTCTTGCCCATGCTTTCCCCTCACGCTCTCTGCCTCCTGACAGCCCGTGGCCTCCTTCCCTTACCCATGTGATTCTGCAAGGTGTGATGGGCCTCTGCCTCTATGAACCTGTGAGTATAAAAACTGATTCCTTCCCAACAGTCCTTTCCACCTCTGCAGGTCTCACAAACCCTGGTACGTTTTAGAACAGTGGGATGGAAGTGCCTGAAGTCGACGAGGGCCTTGCTCCAGGCAGCAATGAGGCTGCTCACAGACCACCACCAAGGGAAGAATATGGAACTCACTGCAAGTCTGGGGGGCTTCCAGAACCTTGAGGACACGTGGGCTGCTCTGGAGCTAGCCCACGTCACAGGAAGAGCACTCTCTCCATGGGGCCCTCACCCCAGGGGAAAGAACATTCCAGGTGGATGTGCGTCCAGAGGCCAAAGGAAGGAAGGAGCTGGGCAGTACTTACCTTTTCAAGGAGCGCATTCTGCCAGAGTCGGAACATCATCATGTACGTCCTATCCCGGGCCCCAAATGAAGTGAAAAAGTGCTAGATGGGAAGAGAAAACAGCAAGAAGTATCACAATAGTACGGTAAGACTCACAATAGAACAGAGGGAGACAGGGTGCTTCATCCTTTTAAGAAAAGCTACCGATTTTATCCCCAAATACTATGGACTCAGTTATCCGTGACCATGACACCAAGGTACTCTAGTGACGGGGATCAAGTCCCCAGTGGCGCTAAGTCCTTTGGTATTCACCCCTGCTTTCCGCAGTGCTTCTCCCTCTGGTTGGAGATTTTCATCTCCTTTTAAAACAACTTCCTTCATCCACCAACTGGACCTGGGTTAAGTGGTAAGCTGTGAACCAGGCTTTGGGAAGGAGAAGACAAACCCACTAACCCACTCACCCTCTCTCTCATTCCCTAATTCAACAAATATTTGAATGTAGTACGTGCTGGGTACCATTTTACATATTTGGGGTACGAGGGCAATCAAAACAGAGACTCCTGCGCTTACTGTGCTTACATGTTAGCGGGGACCCTTTATAACAGGCGGAAGGAAATGATGGGGAACCAGATGTTACTGAACACGATCTAGGGGCTTTACAAATGCTGCTGCTTTGTGTAAACCACATGTGAGTCTTGGAAAATATACGTAACTGCTAACGCCTAATAAAGAGAAACGGGCTGGTGGGATCAGGGGACTTCTGTCATCACAAGGCTGATTCAGGCCAGAAACAGAATTCAAACCAAAGACTATCTGACCCCAAATCTCATGGTTGTTGCCACTGAACTGCCCAAGTCCAAGGGCTCTGCAGACTTGTGTTCAGCTCAGGCCTAGTCCACCCCTAGCCCTGAAGCTCTTAGTCTCCAGGAATTGGTTAAAGGTCAAAGATCCCTGGGTTTCCTCGGCCCTAAATGTTACCTACCACCTTTCCCCCATGCTGACACGGGCAATCCACTTCCTACCGGACTCTGCCGATACATAATAACAACTTACATTTGCACAGAGCTTTGCAACTTAGTGTTTTCAAATCCGTGATGTCATTTCAAGCCTCTGTCATAGGACCGACTGGCTCGATGTCACACATGAGAAAACTTACGTGGAGAGAGGTGACATACCACACCCACAGTTACAGGACTCAAATTCAAGTGCTCGGGCTCCAAGTCCAATGGATAGACCTTCCGTCCTCACCCCTGCTCAGACTCCACACACCCTGATCCAATGGAGGTGGTCCCTGCGATCTGCATCCCCTTACCGTCCCCCACCCCCATCCTCCTGGCCTCCATATTCATGCAGCTGAAGAACAGGAATACAAAATGGGTGGGGCCTGGGGATTGGGGCGGTGGGGAGTAGAAGGTCCAAGATTAGATTCCACTTACCTTTTCTGAGTCAGTGCAAACTTGAATGGCATTGGGAATGAGGCGAGCTGTCTTTTCTTTAGTCATGGAGCAGATGTCTTTCAAACGGACAGTTAGCTGGTACCCCCAACAGGGACGGAGAATGGATAATAAGCAAGAAGAGACATTCATTGAGTCGGCCACGAGTTTACGTGGCACCAGAGAGAGGAAATCACATCTCCGTCTCCTTATTTCCAAACCTGGAAGGGACCCCGTTAGAGATCATCTGGTTTAGCTCCCTATTTCACAGAGGCCACACAGCGAGGTGGTGGCTGAGCCTCGCCCAGAGCCCCACGGTGCCTCAGCTGCTGGTCCAGGGAGCCTTCCTTCTCACGTCTACACGGTCTGATCAATGTGCACAGACCCCATCACTGCTTGGCATTTAAAGAAACACAGGACAGTGACAGGGTAAAAGTCACCAGCTTATCTCTTCCTGTTTTATTTTATAAGATGAGGAGGCAGAGGAAGAACAAAGGGCTAGCCTCATGAGACACAGCCAACTAGGTGGAGAACCCAGATAACGTACAACCTGGACCTGAGTACCAAGGCCAGGGCCCCTTTGACTCAACTATTCTACCTTCTGCAGTGACTCCTGCCAAATATTTACCTGCATCTGCCAAGAGCAAATGCTCTCATGCTCTCTTCCACACCAAAGAGGGAGGGAGGAGAAGACACTGCAGAGGAGATCTCTCCCTCAAGACTCAGGCATGTGCTTTTATGAATTATGCAAAGGTGTGGGCAGAGCAGGAAGTCAACGAAAGGGGGAGAGTGAGGGCAGCTTGCTCAGTGCTAGCCCAGGGACCAAGCCCCAGGTCTTTACCAGAGTTTCCCAGCGGAAGATGTTGCTGTAGAAGCATATCCAATTTTCAGAGAGGTAGAGTCGGCCCTGAAGAAGAATGTCTCTTTGGAGTGCACAGGAGTAATCTGTGGTAGGATGGGGGACAGAGGAGCTCAGAGACAGGAAACATCTTCAGCAAACCACTACAAATGAGGCACGCTATCCCTCCCACCAGCACTGTGGGAGCTCCACTGCCTACTACTCACTAGGTGGGTGAGACACTTGAACTAGTGGCCAAGGGAGTCCCTAGCAGCCCATGTGACGTGAAATACGCCGCTGCTGCCTGAAGGCAGAGGGACGGATGAGGTGGCGGAAGGAGCGAGAAAGTCAGAGGGAGAAAAGACCATTAAAGGCAACTAACACCCCTCCCCCATCCAAGTTACCCCAACCCTTCACTGCTGGGCCATCTGCAGAGGTTAAGAGTGGCAGTGAGTCATTCCAGGTTGGGCTCTCTGTCGAGGCCGCCACACACACGTTGCTCAGCCCTGAGCCTCAACCACGGGGCTCAGTGCTCTGGACATCCTCTCTCCCTGCTCCCAGACAGATGTTCTCACTTGGGTTGGCTCTTTGGTGGGTAACCTCAAGACAGAAGCAGCCTGGGTGCTGCCTTTGGGACACTCAGACTTCCTTCCTGCTCTCACCCCCTGCTCCCAGGTCCCCCAGCTCACCAACAATGAGGCGCTCCGTGTCTGGAAGTTGCTTAAAGAGCTTTCTGAAGTCTTCATTTCTCTGCTTGTAAGTTGGGCTTAACACCTGTGTGACAATGACCGAGGTTAGCAGGATGTTCCCAGGTTCTGTGGGGATGGGGAGGAAGACGCAGGAGGAGCACCTGCTTGCATGTTTAAAAGGCAAAGATGAGGCTCTGTTATCCCACAGACCCTAAGCGGCTCGGTGAGGCAAAGGGGGCTTTGGTATGTATGGAAAAACGCCAGGGAGAGAGTCGGACACTCCAAAAGGGTTTGTATTCAGTGTCCATCAATGAGAAAATGTCAAACATACTAAGCAGGGTCCACGTTAGATCCCAAGAAGAGAAAGGAAGGAGGGACACCTCCAGGGAGCTTCCTGGGACCCACCACAAGAGCTACTGTTGCCCTGTCTTCTGCCAGCAGGAAGTACCACCTTGACAGCAAAACGGGGGCCCAAGAGGGCTCCCCCAGGGCCCCTGCAGGACCCAGAATATGATGCTACTCAGAGCATCCCTCGGAAGCAGTGGTCATCGTGACTAACACAGGAAGTACTGGGCTGTGGATGAAACTGACGACTAGAAAAGAAAAATCATAAGAATAATCATAAGACTACTACGATGTGACTTGTCAATTATATCTCAGTGAAACTGGGCGGGCGGGGGGAGAGAACTGTACTTTACCAAGACTAGATTTAAAAAAAAAAAAAACACCATAAAACTAGTACTAGAATAAGCACAGAAGTAGAGAATTTAAAAGCATGTCTGGTAACTGGAGGCACCCAACCTTGATTCCCTCCCCATCCTTTATAAGACTATTTAACCCAACCCTTCCATTGGCAATGAGGAAAGGAAGGCCAGAGAGGAGACCCCAGCCCGAGTCCCCAAGTGGTCAGTGGCAGATTTCTGCACCCCTGGTCCTCTGCTCACCTCTCCCCACCACCTGTGCTACCAGATGACCCTGTGCCCACTTAGGTTTTTGGGTGCAGACCTATAGCCATAAACTGCCTTCACAAATCCTCCTTGGAAATTCCATCAGTCAGTTGAATAGACAGGAAACCTCATCTTTCCAAGCTTACAATCTTAAAATTTAAAAAAAAAAAAAAAAGGAGGAAGAGGAAGAAGGAGAGGAGGAGTAGCCTGTGGATGAAAGACACCCAAGCCTGATACATGAAGACAAGAGCACAATCCAGGAAGAGCCATGCATCACGACAGAGAAACATCTGTACCCATATTGGCGCGTCCATGACCGGCCTACTTAGGCCAGGAGCGCACCAGATTGTCCTGGTGATGGTGACAGATAGGTCTTGGCCATTTACACTTTCCACCCACTCCCCTGGGGACCCACTGGCGTACGGCTGCGGTGGCGCCGAGATGCGCTTCAGACGGTTGATTTTTGGCTTTTTGCAAAGCTAAGTGGCCCTCGAGCAAGCTCGGGCTGTGGCCTAACCGAGTTCAGGGCATGCGCTTTGACTAGCTGAGCTAAGTGGCCCGATGGTGTTTGTGCTAGAAGAAATGGGAGTATTTCAGGAAGTTGGAGGAGAGAGAATGGCATGACTTCAGTTTGCGGGAAGATTTCCAGGAGAGAGAGAGAGAAGACAGTGCTTTCAACTACTCTGTCTATAGTTAATTTGAATTTTAAACTTCTGTTTTGGCTTGTTTATAAAATGATCTATACTTGCAGTAGTCAATGCCCTGCTACCTTCCCCCAAGCCATGCTATGCTGTAGAACCCCAAACTTTAACAATCACCTGCCATATGTTTGAACCAAGTATCAGGGACATTGGGAGAAGCCAACCTATCCTCTGACTTCTATGGCTAGAAAAGACCTATCTAGAGAAGCCAACCTGGAGAAGTTGGCATAGAAGTCAGAGGATAGGCTAAGTGGCCCGATGGTGGCCAGTGCTTTCAACTACCCTGTCTATAGTTAATTTGAATGATCTATATCATTCAAGAGAAGCCAACCTATCCTCTGACTTCTATGGCTAGAAAAGACCTCCGAATACCACACTCCTCTGGCCCACAGGTTGATTCCAAACTGATAACTGAGATAACCAATCTAACTGGCCCCCTGGCCTTGCAGAACAGAGCCCACACACTGAAAACCCTTGCTTGCCCACCTGATCATCAAGAAGTTCCTAATCATGTCTAACTGACCTCCTAGAGCTACAGTTGAGTGAACGTGAAATGAGTCATTACCACACACCAAGCACTGTCATTAGCCCTTCACATACATCATTTCACTGGACCACAGATTTTTTATTTTCCCATTTTATACACCAGGAAGTTGAGGCACAGAGAGGTTAAGCAACTTGTCCAAAGTATGTGGTTACTAAGTGGGAGAGGAGAGCATGAACCGAGGCAGTCTGACCCACAGTCCCTGGTCTGAGTCACTGCTCTATGATGGTGGCTCAGGGTCTTGGTCCCAAGAGGGAAACAGGGATGCCCTGGCAGAGCACACTCTCTGGGGGATGAGATGTCCACCTACTCGGGGGCCCCACTAGTCTTTCATGCCCACAAGTGGGGTTTTTTTTCTTCCCCCAGGAGGGTAGTAATAAAGCTTCAGTTTTTTCAAGATGAAAAAGTTCTGGAAATTGGGTGCAGAACAGTGTGAATGCACTTAATGCTACTGAACTGAGAAATGCTTAGAAATACTTAAGATGGTAAGTTTTAGGTTCTTTACCACAATTAAATTTCTTTAAAAAAAAAAAAGTATTGGGCGCCTGGGTGGCTCAGTCGTTAAGCGTCTGCCTTCGGCTCAGGTCATGATCCCAGGGTCCTGGGATCGAGCCCCACATCGGGCTCCCT